ATATTTATTAGTATTCTTTACCTTTATATACTTAGGGCTAAAGCCTTTTTAAACTACTAATAACCTTATTCCTATAATAGATACTAGGAAAAAAAAACCTTTAAATATTTATTAATAGTATACTGGCTTAAGGCATAGATCTAACTATAGTACTTAGTACCTTGTGTATATATAATGTTAAGTAAAGTGTTATTGTAATTAAAGATAAATATAATTAAGAAATGCAAATCCCTAGTTAAGGGTAAGAAAAGAGTAGTAAATGGATTTTTCTTTTATTTTTTAAAGTATTTAGTTAGTATATAGTAGTAGTTATGTTAATATATAGGGCTAATAGAATTGAGATAATTGTTCTTAGCTTTAACTATTAGAAAGTTAATTAGAGAAAAAAGGAATAGAGACTATTTACCAGATACCGGAATGGCCAAGCTACGAAAGTTCGAAGCGGGGTTAAAGAGTAAATGCCTTTTTGCAAGACAGCGACCATGTGTTACATTCCTGCCTGACTGTAGGATGACACCCCTAGGGTTTAAACTTTGGTGTTTTCTATGGGTGGGTAGGTTACTACGTTTAATTGTAAACTCTGTTAAGGAATAACTAGCTAAATAGAGTATAGAAACTTCTGCCCTCTGAAAGCAGTAAGTCTTAAGACTGTAAATAAGCTTTAAGCCCAGTAAAGCTAAGTATTAGTTGAACTTATTATAATCTGACTATGTAGCATACGCTGCTAAAGGAGAATGTGGTTAAACCTTTAGAAAGTAGGTATGTAATGTCTAGATAGTAAGTTATGTGAAACTGGATAAGTTTGACGGAAAGCGGGTTATGTATATTCTAGAGGTAAATATGAAGCTATGTGCAGAATTGATGTTGGCTGAGACCGTCGGGTCCTGCTATTTTAACGCGGGAACTGCATTTACAGTGTAATACGAAGCGATCTTACATAATGCAATACTATTTGCTAGTGTGTGATGGCGGACTCTTGCTTGTCTGTCTTGCCGTCGAATATACAATTTCTTTAGTTCTGGCTACTTAGACAGTAGTTTAATAATTATAACTATACCTTGAGTATCTGATTACTACCTCTTATCTTTTGTAGTCAATCAATTAGTGAATTATTCTATTAAACGAAAAGAGAAAATGTCTACCTTTGAGAGATTCTTCCAGAAGCAACTCGGTGACGAGTTTCTTGCCTTGGCACAGAGGTTGGAAATTGCTGTAGCTAATCATTGCGACGACCGTCACTCTACACTCGACCTTGTTATCCAGGATGGAGGCCTCTCTCTTAACGCAATTTATACTTTACAATTTGCACAACATGTGCTTGGATGGACGGGCAATAACTTGGAGATATCTGGCTATATCTTTGACGAATTGGGTGCTACTAGCTCCGAGGAACTCGCCTCACTGTTGTTCCCCCGTTCTCAGTTTGGTGGTGGCATGAGACGAAATCCGAGCAATGTACCCGTGGCACTCACAGCAGAGGCTGTGGAATCCCTCTACTTAAAATTCTTCGAGGATCAGCAGTTACTCGTAATGCTGGTCTTGCTTTGAAAAAGCAGATTTTCCCTTCGTGAGGAGCTTCGAAAGATAGCTAAGAATTGCCTCGTATTTACTCTTCTTGGGAACGGAAACGCCAATGACCCTGAGCTGCCCAAATATGTTTCCCAGCAGATGATCAAACTCGATGATCAAACTCCGCCACCATCTGATACAGATCTTGCTGAAGGCTTGGAAGTATTCAAATCGATCATCGTGCTATGCCGAGTGGTCCAGGACCTAGAGGATGTGCCTCTTTTGCATAAAGCTGGTTTTGATTCGGTCCGCCAAATCACCCAGCAAGTCAAAAAGGACTTTTCAGCCAAGATGGTGGATGTTGGAATGGCACTTGAGAATGCCCTTCGGATCCATGATTGCGCAGAATCTGTTGATTGTTGAAACGAGCACCTCTGGCTCTCTCTCATGCAATCCCGGAGACAGGACTTTGTTCCCATATCAAAAGCTAGGCCGAACATCCTCAATCCAGGCGGCTCTCCCAACCGCCCGCTCAACAACCTGACAGACATCTTCAAGCTTGAAGACTCGGGTTGTGAGGAGTGCTGCTCCGTCACTGGTCTTTGTGCTTATCTTGCGGATCTACTCCTCTTTCTCCGCAACACAAAGACTCCAAAGATAAATTCTCCAGACAGGAAAAGCCTTGAGATATATGGGAGCCGTAACGATACATTTATGGCCCAGGATCTTCTACAACTACTCTTCAGTCGGCGCCCAGATATCAGGAAGCTAGAACTTACCTGGGCCAACTCCCAGACCCTTCTTCCATACATCAGTCTGGTCACCGAAGTCCTTGAATCCTATATCCGCTCGGTGGAAGTACCACCTCTTGCTCCAAGTGATTTACTTGAAGATTCGATCCGGGCGTACCAGACTCCTGCCAGTCTGGATGAAAGCGGTGATGAAGATTCGCCGGAATTTCAGTATCGCCCTGCCAACACAGATTATGAGGTTTACCAAAAACTCATATCTCGTCCCATGTACCCTCTGACAAACTTTCCTTATGACCTTTCTCGCGATATCACGCTCTCTGCATTTGGAGTTTGGGACATTGAGTTTGCAGATTTCGTGAGGCTATTCAGGTCACCTGAACAACTTCTGGCTCGAGTTTTCTCTGCTGCGAACGGGCGCATAGATGAAAGTCTCCGTGAAGCCCTTGAAAAGGGCCCCGAGGAGATTCTTGATCGCCAATATGCTGCAGAAGTTCTCGGTCTTCAGCCTGCTGAGTTTTGGGCAATTACGAATGAGACATCTTTCCCCAGTGCTTGGACTGACGTTGTGAATGGACTCTCTCCTACCGCTCTCAAGATCGACAAGGCTCTTATCATTGAAACATCTGCCCTATGGGGTTTCGATGATGATGATGAAATGCTTGACGTTGAGCGTGGTCTGTCATTGATCAAGAACAAACTCATGGCTAATTCTGGCCTCACGTTCCAGGATATCATGGACTTGGTTAAGAGTCAATGTTTCAGCCAACAGCTTGTCGTTACCAACTCTACTGGAAGCCAACAGTTTGGGCCACTCATTGAGGGTCTGAGGCTTCTTTCCAACGCTTCTGCACCCCCATTTTAGCCTCTGACTAATGATCTGGCCTTTCAGCTGCAGGCTTTCATAAGGCTCAGGCAGAAATTGAAATGGTCTATTGCAGATCTTGATGCTGCCATTGTTGCCTTGCGCAACTTGGAACTCGGCACTGTCGCTGATGCATCACGCCCAAAGCGCCCAGATTTTCTTCCTCGTGGCCGTGAGCGTGAGAGATACAACGTATCTCCTCTTGTCAGACCTGATGATGAATGGCAAACCAGCCTGTCTGAGATACCGGCAATAACACCCTTCGTGATCAAGGGAATCGCTTCTCTCAAGAGGCTGAGTGAGATTTCAGGATTTGAACCCGTAGAACTCACGGTGTTGTGGGCACCGCTGAATACATATGGCGATAAATCTTTCTTCTACCGACGATTCATGACCCGAAGGCTTCAGCAAATCGACAGTATCTTCTCTCTCCATAAGGATATATCAACCGGTTCGATACGATTCTTTACTCCGGAAGGAATCGTTACACATGTTCGTGACCATTCTCGGGGTATCTGCGCGGCTTTGAACTGGCCTTCAGCCTATTTTGACTCTCTTGTCACAGCTGCGGGATGCACAAGCAAGAGGCTTGACATCGAGTCATTTTCAAGCATTTATAGATATGTCCTGATCTGTAAGATCATTGGAGTTTCTGCGAAACAGTGCAAAGGCTTCTTTGATGTCTTCTTTGCTGAGAATCCTCATATCTTGTCTAGTACAATAGCAACAGTGGAGGCCATTGAGAGATGGAAGTTTCTTCTTGCCTCAGGTTGGGACATTGAATCCCTGGTCGATCTCTTGGTCAAGAACAGACAGGTTGACGAAAATCATACAAGGGCTGCCAATGAGGCTGCGGTACGTTATGTGCTCGAGATTTCTTCTGGAGCTCGGGGCATTCTTCAATCGGTTCCATCCGCTGTCCCAGGAAGCGTCCAAGGCGTAGATCATGTTGCTGACTGCGCGAATCGTATTTTTGATGCATCAGTGGCGCAAGCCGTGGTCGAATTAGTTGAAAGTAAGGGAGCCTAGATGATTACATTTCTGTGGAATCTAATTGCTAACCCCGTATCGTAGACTCCCGACCACTAAGCCAGGCAGTTTTGATACGCATGCCGTTGTTACAGGAGCTCAGTGAAGCTCTTTTTAAGCTGCCAGACGCTGAGACACTCTACATCTCTCAGCCTGATAGTCAAGATCATGACACAGACAGTGATGAAGATGATGAAGACTCTAAGCAAGCGGCCAAGTTGGAAGCAGCCAGGCTAGCTGCAGAGAAATCGAGTCTCGAAGCTACAATTCGACTTAGAAGGAGAAGAAGTACTTTCATTGAGTTTGCAATTCCAAGAATCACAGAAGGCCTTTTGGATGCCTTTCTTGTCAACAGCATTCAAAAAGCACTCCCTGATACGGAGCCTGCTTTGATTCCTGTCCTTTTGCACGATCTTATCTCGATCCCAACTCAAGATGGCGAAGCCAGTCAGTCGGCCTTGTCGGCCCTTAGAGACCTCACCAAGCCAAACAGCGAGGCCGTAACTTCAGAGTGTATAGATGGTTACTTCAGCCCACCAACCTCTGATGTTTACACATTCAGCTGCTCTGGAGTCCACAATACTACACAGCCTTCCTTATCAGTCAACAATCTGGACCTTCAATATGATACAGACTCAGAGTCATTCACAGAAATCCGTTTGACTGTCGGCAAACCCTATCGTTTGAGATGCAACATTGGTAACAAATCTTTAACATGGTCAACAACAAAGGCTAGCCCTTCACCTTTGACAGAAGCGGTTCTCATGTCGACCTCCATCGCTGCTCGTGCTGATCTCATCATCGGTACAGTCAAGAGAATAGCCCAAGTATGCGATGGACAATGTCTGACCGTTGATGAGCTACAATATATTGCGCTTAATCAGAACAAGCCAGGTCAAACACTAGGCCTAAACTTCAACAAACTCACGTTCACTGACCTCTTCAACTTATCAAAGTACAGTGAGCTTCGCAAAAGCTCTGCAGGGAATCCCGGAACACTTGTTGTCTTGTTATGTCGCTGTATTACAAAAACCGGACTCTCACGATGGATATCCTAGCTACAAGCTGGGCAGATGCCACTGGCTGGGATAAGACTCGGGTTCTGGAAGCTCTGCAAGCCAAATTCCCAGATCTGTCCACTGGGGCAGTCATGAGCTCTTTGACAGATTTCTACCAATTCCTGAACTTTGCTGATATAATGGCCTTCGATGAAAAACTCAAGATATCCTGCACTGGTGGAACCTTGCCCACGATGTGTGAGCTTTTCCACTTAGCGCAACCCAGACTTTCCCTCTCTGTTAGCACGTCGGACCTTCACAGAGCAATCAAGCTACAAGATGGCCTTGCACCCTCCCAGTAGAATGAGATAGACATCCTGTTGACGCCAAAACGACGAGATGTCCTCGTTCAATATTTGTTGCACCAGGGAGCTGTTCGCAATGACCTGAACATCAAAGACGCGGATGGGCTCTTTGAGCACCTGCTAATTGATGTCCAGATGGGTCCACAACTTCGGACATCAAGAGTTAAGCAAGCTATTTCAGTAGTGCAGCTTTTTGTACAGCGATGTCTACTAGGACTGGAGGATGGTGTACCTTAAACAGCAGTCACCCGGAGTAAGTGGTCCTGGATGCAACATTATACTCTCTGGGAGGCACATCGTAAGCTCTTCTTATACCCCGAGAATTGGCTAGAGCCCTCACTACGTGATGACAAAAGTCAACTCTTTGAGAAGGTTGAGACGGTTCTAATGCAGAAGAATCTTACTGTTAGCACCTTTCTTGGGGCTATCCAGGATTACATCTATGATTTGAACGGTATTTCAAGCCTTGATATAGTGTCATATCTCCACGAACCTCACAAGGGAGCCGAGGATGTCTTTCACCTATTTGGACGCACCCGCACAGCGCCACATACCTTCTACTACAGAAAATTGACAGTCTATGCGACAGATAGATCTGTCTTCTGGCAGCCGTGGACAAGTATAGACTTGGATATACCCTCAGTGGAGGCCGACTGGGACTCGAAGCGTCTTCAAAGCAGTGGGGCTTACCTGGTGCCGATCTTGCTACAGGATAGATTGTACATCTTCTTCCCGCAAATCGCAGTCACTACGAGCCAATCGATACTGCAACCTTCCGGAAGTCAGTCAATGACTTGGACGCAAATGGGCAGTTCTTCAGTAGCTGGACAGTCACCAAAAACGTCATGGGAGATTACCATGGCCTGGAGTGCGTATGTCAAGGGAAGTTGGTCTCCCAAGCGTATATCACCTGGAAGTCTCAAAATCGAGCCCAGCAAGCTCCAAGATGCATCAGGTCAAGCCCAAGGACAAGACAGGCTGCCGTCCGCCTGGGAGTTCCGTATAGACCCTCTTTACGAAGCCAAACGGGTCCGGCTTGTCATCAGCTACGCTCCCGAGACAAATCTCATCGGAGAGGTTGTAGGAGAGTTCAATTTTGCCAGAGATCAGGTGGAGGCAAACCAAGACGCAAAGATAGCACTCCCAAGAAGTCAGTTCTCTACTCGCTTCGGCAAGGTTCAGGGGGCCAACTCAATCCTCTTCACTCCCGGGTTTAGAGACAACATGAAAGACCCGTTAGTATGGATGCCCTCTGACGTGGCTTGGAAGAAGGAGGATATTAACTGGACACTATCGAAGACGCCCTATCGCATGACTGGACTGGTACTCAATGTGAGGGAGGAGGATGGATCAAGCAGGAGCTATTTCAACGTTCCAGAAAAAGAGCTTCTTGAAACCCGGTGGACGCAGGAGATCATTGCCAGCAGGATGAAACTCAGGTCAATCGATCATTCCTTTTCAGAAAGGCTCATGCAAGCTGTTGCAAATCCCACCGAGCCCTTAGACAAGATATACAACACTTTGTCTACGGTGCCCACTGATGAGTGGGCTGATTGCTACGGAGCGGATATCGATGTATACTACCATGAGCTCGCCAGTCCCTGTGCGCTTTATAATTGGGAGTTGGGTGTCCACTCCATAATGCTCGCGGTGGACCGCTTCATGTCCACGCAGCAGTTTGACGAGGCTTTACAGATAGCACGGTTGCTCTTTGATCCTACAGTGGATCACCAGATTGATCGCCAGGAAACGGCGCAACCATCCTGCTGGAAGTTTCCTCCTTTCCGAGATATCAGCGACCGGATAGATGTGAGGGAAATTCCGAGACAACTTTCAAGAGCCTCACTGCCGACCTACAACTCGCCATCAAGGACAGAAGATCATACGGCCAGCTTGCTCATGCTGCTGCTCGAGGACGCCCGCAAGCTTATATAAAGTGGATTGTTATCAAGTATGGAGAGATCCTCTTGGCAGCGGGAGACAAGCACTTTTGCGAAGGCACTCTTGAGAGTCTCCCTTTAGCCATTCAGAGATACGTCGAGGCAGCTCGTGTGTTTGGTCCTGAGCCGGTTAAAGGGCTGAAACTGAGTAAGCGAACTGCCATGTGCTTCGAAGATGTCATCAAGGACGAGGTTCGGTTCTATCTCGATTTACCATTCACAGCACAGCTCAAGAGAAACATGGACCCAATCAAGGGATCAGCTTCTGCTAGAGATATAGATCCCAACAGGGAAACTCACCGTTCCTTCATCATGTCTTCTTACTTTTGCGTTCCCCTGAACCCCAAGTTCAAGAAGCTCAGGAGTCTTGTACATGAGCGGTTGCATAATATCCGTGACTCACTGGACATCAATGGCAATCCCATCGTCTACGCCCTTCGTGAGCCACTAATCGATCCTGGTGCTCTGCTTTCACTGAACCCCGGGGGTGCCATGGGCGGGGATATGGCCATGGTTCTGGCAGACCAGAACATGCCTCTGACACGTTATCGCTTTGATGTCAAGATCAACAAAGCTCTCGAGCTTTGTGGAGAGCTCAGGTCCCTTGCCGATCGATTCTTGGCTGCCATTGAGAAGAAGGAAGTAGAGGAACTGAACGCTCTTCGAGCTCGGAACTCAACACTGATCCAAGGTCTAATGCTTGAGATCAAGCAAACACAGCTACGTGAGGCTCAGCAAGCCTTAGAGTCGCTATGTCTATCTCGAGAATCTCAAGTCTCGCAGCTGTCATACTTTCTGGAGACTATTGGAGAGTCAAGTTCATTGGTTCCTAATTCAAGCCAAGACTGGGTTGATCTTGTGCAGGACATAGGCCCCATCACTCAAGATGACATGAGAATGACGGCGTATGAAAAGGCTGAGATGGATCTTGCAAGTACGGCTGCTGGCCTTAACATAATTGCAGCCAGCATCGACCAAGCCGCTCAGGTCTATGCTATCCTCCCAACTATGTCTGCCAACATACAGCCTTTCGGTGTTGGATGCAGTATCTCAGCTGGTGGCTCGTCAATCGCCAGTGCTATTCAGACTGGGGCTATGGTGATGAGGACTAAGGGAATGATCGCCGCTGAAGAGTCTAATCAAGCTGGGAGAAAGGGCCGGATGGCTAGGCAGCTACAAGACCGACGACTGCAGGCCAACGTGAAAGGCCGAGAGATTAAAGCTACAGACAAACAGATTGAGATGCAGAAGACACGTATACTTGCAGCCGAAAAAGAGATAGAGTCTCAGAGAGTCTCAGTGGAAGATGCAGCCCAGGCAGAAGCCTATAATCGCACTAAATACACAAATCAGCAGCTCTATGCCTGGATAGAGTCGGGGCTTCACAACCTTTACTTCCAGGGCTACAATCTTGCAGCAACAGCAGCCCAGCAGCCCAGCAGGCAGAGTCATCATCGTCCTTTGAAAAGGGTCGCAAGGTCTCCATCCTCAAACCGTCAGGGTATTGGAATACGTCCCGAGATGGCCTTCTTGCTGCTGATAACCTTTATTTGGACCTGAGAAGACTTGAGGCGCTTTACCTTAAGGGTCCAAGGTGGGACTACGAGATTACAAAAACGGTTTCGTTGCGTCAAATTAACCCTCTGGCACTATTGAGGCTACGAGTCAACGGCTCTACCGACTTTTCTATCTCGGAGCACCAGTATGATCTAGACTTTCCTGGGCACTACATGCGTAGAATACGATCGGTATCCGTCTCAATACCAGCTGTTATAAGCCCTCATAGCAGCCTCAACGCCACTCTGTCTCTCATAAAGAGTCAGTACCGCATCAACTCAACAGCTGCAACGGCGAAGGAGTACCTTACCACCAACTCGGAATGCCACAGATCTGACAGAGTCCCCATATCTTCCATTGCTATCAGCTCGGGAGCCAATGATGCTGGAGCGTTTGAGCTTAACTTTTCTGGACCGAAGTATCTTCCATTTGAGGGCGCTGGAGCTATATCATCTTGGCGCCTGACTTTGCCTTGCGAGATTCCAAAATTCGACTATAGCACCATCAGTGATGTTCTACTTCACATCCAATACACCTCCCTAGATAGTGGGGAGTGTCTCAAGGCGGCTGCTAATGAGGCTGTACGTCTTGCAGCACGGTCAATCGAGGCTGAGGGCAAGTCTGAGGGCTTCTATGCTATGTTGGATCTAAAGCACGACTTCCCTAACAGCTGGCATGCTTTTAAAACCAGCCTCATCTCCTCATACAAAGCTACCAAGACGGCCAAAGGTAGCATGGAGCTTGGTGACATTCGAGACCGACTGCCTTTCTGGTCCAGACGCCAGAACAAGCTCGTGGTCCAGAGTATCGCTCTTGTTTCAAAAAGCGCCAAACTGATTCGGGGTACTACTATTCCGTTGGCTACTGGTGATGACCCTGTAATCGATAACGGTCACTTGGGGACCGGACGCTCTTCTATGGCTATCAAGACGTTTTTAGATGTGTCACAGGATAACCTCGATGGATGGGTTATTGAAACAGCTGGCAGAGTTATTGAGGAGAAGGATCAGATAGTAGAGAATATGTATATGCTTGTGAAATATTTCTTTAGTTAATGCTTACTATGTTGTCCATTAGCTTTCAAAAATCTTATATTTCTCTCTTTACTTTATAGTTAAGTGCAACTCTATATTCAGACCGTCGCAGTTTAATAAAGCAATCTGGGAAGCAAGCAATGGCAGATAGCAAAACCATGATAAAACTGTAAAGCCATCGTAATGTGTATGGTGAGCATGAGCCATGTCTTTGACAGAGTAAGTCCATACTCAGACTACTCACCAGAAATGAGTCATATAGAAATTCTGCGTAATAAGCCCTCTAAAGCCTTTCCACTCATTAAGTTCTAGACTATGGGTTCTGGGTCAAGCCATGCATGATCTACCACGCGTAAGCTTTCAAGACAAACGTAGAGTGGCTGGTGTCTAGACTTCAAAATGGCTTTTTACCATTCATTCGCCATGAAAGCTAACTCAGTTTGTGTGGGTGAGTTTCCAGTCACAAACTTACCTATAAAGAATACAGCCAGCACACTATTAGACATTATACTACAAGCCATGAGAGCATTACTTGATCTGTATGTGATCTGTGGAAAGACTGGGGACCAAATGGTCAGTTACCAATTGCAAAGAAGCAGTGTAAAGTGCAAGAATGTAGCTAACATGTTATTAAGTTTCTAGTATCGTTATAACAACATTCCAGTATATTAACCATTTCTAAACCGTACTCCCGAGATATTAAGACCTGTAATAGAGAAAAGTCTATATACTGTATACTGATAGCCATTGGCAAAAATCAAGCGCCAAGCTCTTGAAAGTCAATGATTTCAGTTCTAGAGTCATACGAGGTGGGTCTCAGCCTCATAGTCCACAACCTTAAGTAGAGTTTTGATGCGGGTTTGATCTGGTATTTGGTAGCTGCTATAATTAAACTTCGCGTTGGGCTAACTTCGAAAGTTACTAAACTGCTGACATGCAAGACCTGCATTCTATTACATATCTATATCGATTCTCAGACATCTCTACTCGGGAGTCGGCAATTGCTGCGATAGCATGCAACCCTGTGACCTCAAATGATACGTGCTGTTGGGATGTAAATTATACCCATCACAAGACTAATGAAAAGTTTCCTATACGAAGGAGGAAGCTAATGCATGCCACGAGTTTCTTACGCGTCGAATGAATGGCTTTGTGGCACCCACGCTCCATTAAGTACCCAAGATAACAGTAGCGCAATATTGAACCTTTGTGCCTTTGGCTCCATGTACGAGCGTTGTATTCGCATTCCCAGCGACGGCAAAGGCCATCCTGGACTCTTAGTTGGCTCTTTGCTGATGTATAGACATTAAACTTTATAAGCGATCACATGTGTCAACTGAAAGCAAGTCTCAGTCTCAAAATGACACCCGGTGTGAGGTTATCATGGCCGCGTCACTACACTCGGTGCTTTCAATCTGAACGTCACATGGGGATGCCCTATTTTTTGGAACATTAACTGTTGACATGGTTGTAATGTAATAGTTTGAAGTGGCCCAATACAGGCACTCCGTACGAACTCATAATAGATCTGGACCAGTTTGTGTTGTGTCAGGTCGCTGGGACTTGGGAGACTTTAGATTAAGGGCAGACAGAGATTCGTATACTAGCGTAAACAAAAGGTTATAGAAGCACATGTCGGCTCAGGTCTCGATAAATGGAGGCAGATTGGATAGCCATAAGTTCAAGATTAGCACCATCCATTCTATTATCAGACAATAGTATAGTAGCCCAGCAATTCTTGAACGCTAACTCTGGATCTAAACCTTTACAGTCAGAACTTATTGACACCTTGAAGATCTAAACACTTTAGTATAACTATAGCTTTTGTTCTGTTACATAACTGTATATAATAAAACCTTCTAAGAAACCTGGAAGTGTAATTCCATTTGCAACCTGGCTACGTGTAAGGTGCGTGCTGTAAGCATTAGTAGCAGTTTCTATTAACTTAAAATAATACTCTTATTAAATTAGTTTAGGCAGTATACTAGCTACTTAATATAATTACTTAAAATAAGCTTTTTAGCCTATTTAATAATTATATCTAATATATAAAAAGAACTTAAATATATTTACTAAAAGATAAAAAGGCTACTTTAATTACTTATTATAGCTTTTTAACTTAATATTAAAAATACGCCTTAAGATATAAGCTTATATACTTATTATAAAAATAATTATAAGTTAAGGCTATTAAGTAACTAAATATTATAATTATATTAATTACTTTATTATTAATATAGCTATAATATCTATAGCTTTTTAAGCTACTTATTTTAGCTTAATTTTTAAGTAAGGTACTAAAGGAGGCTATACTTTACTTACTTTAAAGGATTTCTTAAAAGATACTATTACTTAGCTTAATAAACTTAATAATAAGGTTATTAGTTTTCTTACCTTACTTAGCTATAATACCTTTAACTATACTAAGTATTAAGAAGTCTTTATAGTTCCTTAAAGTATATAAACCCTAATTTAGTAAGAAAAGGATAAGCTTAAAGAGCTTACTATAAAAAGTTATTTTTAGTAATACCTTTATATTATAAGATTAAGGGTAAATTAGGCTTAATTAATATTACTTTATATTTTATAGCTATAGCTTTAAGGCTATAAATATAAATTACTTAGTAACTTAAGAAGAAAAGGTAAATATAAAGAAAAGGTTAAATAGATAAAGGTTTTAAAGAGAATATGTTTATAGTAGCTATATAGTTAGCTATAAAGGAGGAAAGGTTAAAAGGACTGGTAAAGGTTTAGACGAAAATATATATATAGTAGCTATATTATTAGAGGAAAGGTTAAATCAAGGTTAGGGAATATTAAGTCACAAGGTGGCGAAAGATTGGTTATAATAAAGTTATTTTAACACAGTAGCAACCCGGCCACGAGACCGTAATTGCGGTAATTCTCTGGGGAAGAGCAACGAGAGTGGAACCAAGCCATCTGCTGTTAGAGCAAGCCTGCCTGACTCACGTTCTGGAATTGGAGGGTCCAGCTTCGCTGTGCAGAACCCCTCCGTTCTCAGTGCCCCGGCTGCCGCTTCACTGCAAGATAACACGGGACCAAACACAGGCAAGGGAGGTAGTGCCCAGCGCTCTATTGACTAAAAGTTCCAGCTTAATCCATCATCCGGGACATTTTCGCTTGCTATTCCAATCCAGGTCTCAAAAGCAAGAGGCGAGTTACAGCCTACATTAGAGCTATCCTACGACTCTGGACTTGGCAATGGAGCTTTTAGGATGGGGTGGTCGTTAAGCTTTGGCGTTACGGGCATCACTAGGAAGACTTCCAAGGGCATCCTAAAGTATAAAGACTCTGTAGGGGCTGAAAGCGACACTTTTATCTTATCTGGCTACGAGGACCTTGTTGTCGCTGATGAGCCACCAGTTGACATCCGAACTCTTCAAGGTCATGACTATATTGTCAAGCGATACAGATGTCGCATTGAGAGCGAACCACAAGTCATTGAGCGTTGGACCAACCTTGACGATGATGGGGATACCCTTTGGCGTACCATATCCCCCTCGAACCAGGTGCACTTCCTTGGACGTACCGACCAGTCTCGCATCTTTGATGCTTCAAACCCAAAGAGGATTTTCACTTGGATGCTTTGTGAAGTTCATGACCCGCTTGGAAATGCTATGGTGTATATCTATAAGGAAGAAGACGAAGCGGGAATTTCTGAGCTCCCCGACATTCGTCAGGCATGCGAAGCCGGTAGGGATGGGGAAGCAAGAACTAGAGCCAGGTATCTCAAGGCCATCAAGTGCGGGAATCGCAAGCCGAGCCGAGAGGCCGAGTCTTGGGAGATCGAACACCGAGAGACTTCAAAGGTTGGAAATGTCGAAAACGAATGGATGTTTGAGGTTGTCCTCGATTACGGAGAGCACCATGTTTTCGAGCCTTCAACCAACTTCGTACGAGACTGGAACGTACGTCATGACCCTTTCTCAACCTACGCTAGTGGCTTTAAGATCCGTTCGTACCGTCTCTGCAAGAGGATCCTCATATTCCATCATATCCCTGAGAAGCTAGGGTTGGAAGACTATCTGGTGGCTTCATGCGAACTTAACTATCTGCCGAAGGAGACGGGATCTTTTATTCGCTCAGTCACGCAAAAAGGGCACAGTTAGAACTTTCAGACTGGCCAGTACGACACTCAGAGCCTACCAGCTATCAGTTTTGACTATAGCCAAGTCCCGGAGTTCAAAAAACTCCAAACCAACTCAATCAAGCCAAAGCTTATTTGCCAGCTTGCAGCTAGCCAAGCTAATCCATCTGGGGTTAATGCACAGTGGATTGACTTGGACGGAGAGGGGATTTCTGGTCTTATCGTTCAACTTGACGGAACGTGGTACTACGGCCGGAATGAATGCCCTCTCCAAGATCCTGCAACGGATGACATGGGCCTGACTGATGACGAATCCTCCAGCGCCTCGGGTTCCGATTCAGACAAAGAATCATGCAATAATACCTACATCCTTCCCAGTCACCCTGTTCACGCGAGAGGTGACGAAACAGGTCTTTGCAGATATTGACGGAAATGGGTCACAAAACCTGGTCGTTTTGGATGTGAGTGGTAGACCAGTTGGTTACTATGAACGCACGGAGGATCAGGACTGGACCACCTTCCGTGAGTTTGAAACTATCCTGAGCAACGAAACGGCCAAGGTTAGTGACACTGGGCCCGTCCGTAAGTTTGATGTCACGGGCAACGGCCTCGTGGACTTCGTGACGGTGGACCAATCACACGGCCAAGTTCTGTGGCATGAATCGCTAGGCAAGAAAGGATATGCAGCTCAGAGACGATCTCGTGGTCCAGGGCAGCCCGTATTCTGGGATGATTCGGACCAACGTACCGCAACCACGCTTGCCGACATGAGTGGCGATGGCTTAGTGGACATTTTACAACTCTCCAACGGACATGTATCCTACTGGCCTAGCCTGGGCTATGGCCGTTTCGGCTCACAGGTCATCATGAATAATTCTCCATTGTTCGACCAGGACGAGGATAAGTTCGACAGTCGACGAATCCTGCTGGCTGATGTCGACGGCAGCGGCGCCGCTGATCTACTGTATATACTCAGCGACGGTGGGCTCATGCTTCATAGGAACTGTTGCGGTAATGGTTTCAGCGATGGAATTCTGCTTCCCTGCTTTCCCCGAGTGTCGGATGTTTCTTCATTGTTTGTCATGGACTTGTTTGGAAAGGGAACCAGTTGTATCTGTATGATGGAGCAAGATACGGCTCAAGAGGTTGTTATACGCTACTATGATTTCAACTCGTCACCCATATCCCCAACCTCAAAGCCCAACATGCTCACAGCTTTTGAAAACGGTGTCGGTCTTCATACAACTATTACATATTGGCCTTCCACAAAGTTCTACCTCAAGGATCAGCGCGCTGGTAAGCCTTGGAGGACTAAAGTACCCTTTCCCGTCCAGGTTGTCCAGAAGGTGGTGTATCAAGATCTCATTACCGGCCGTTCCAAGACGTGCAGATACCACTACCATGATGGTCACTACGATGGCCATGATCGTGAATTTCGTGGTTTTGGGATGGTCGAAGAATCAGTCAGAGAAACTCTCCTTCTGACAAATGGGAATCGCTACCAGAAGCCTCCCTCTCTGAAGAAGGTGTGGTATCATACTGGTATCATGGCGAGCCTGACTCCTGATTCCGCTACCACTTTCCAGAACCCACAGATTTCTTCAAGGCTGCCCCCCGGCCTCTCGTCAGATGGTCTGTACCAGTCATCTAGAGCCCTCAGGGGGTTGGAACTGCGATCTGAGCTCTACAGCCCAGATGGAACCGCAAAGGCTAAGCTGCCATACGTTGTGATCGAGCGTTCATACCTCGTGACCCAGGAGCAGGAGCCAAAGCCCTCTGGGTGCCATGGTGTCTTTAGAACCCACGCCTCCGAGATTTTGACTCTGAATTACGAAAGGAATGCTGAAAATCCACGGATCCAGCATGAAATAGTGATCCAGCGAAATAGTCATGGTGACGTTGAGAGATACCTAGACATTCGATACGGCAGCAAAGGAAGTCTTCTCAATGGGCCGAATCGCACCGCCCAGGAGATTAATGAAGTGAGGTACACAGATATCGAGTATACGAATGCTGTTTCAAGCTTGGATGTGTTCAGGAAACCTCTTGTTTCCCAGTCTTCTTCATTTTACATATTGGGTCTACCAATTGATCATCAAATCCTGGACGGTCGAAAACTCGCCTCGGAGGACCTTGATCAGTATTTGGTCAAACCAGCCAATATTCTTAACGATAGCGATTATTCTTGTCAGGCGGAGAAGTCAAAGATTCTCTGCAGCTCCACAAGAACCATATACCGGTCTCAGGATATGACGGGGCCACTTCAATTTAAGGAACTGGAGCCCTTCTCTATCGTTGATCAGGTATTTGAGCTAGCCCTTGACAGAGAACGTCATCTACAAATCTATGGCTCAAGCAACAAGATCCTGTCGCGGTTTGGACGCGATTATACGACAATTCTCGAGAGAGAAGGCCTATTCATAGATCTGGATGGCGATGGCAACCTGTGGGCACCATCATCCGTCACTTACTTCGGTACCCCTGCTGCCAAGAATTTGCAGCTCCCTGAAGCTAGACGGTCTTTTTTCTCCCCAACTGTGACCAAAGACCCCTTCAAAGCACAATCCACTGTGGAGATGGATGGTATTTATCTGCTTCCCTGCAACTGGACCGATGCAAATGGCAACGTTACACGTGCAGATAATGATTACAGAGTCTTGCGGGCTGGTACAATCAAAGACCCCAACGACAACCAGTTAAGTGTCATTTTTGACTCACTTGGACGTACTGTTGCCTGGGCACTGAGGGGAAAGCAGGTGGCTGAGTCTCTCAATGGTCTCACGGCAAATCTCGCACCCCACGAGACTGCAGCTTTGTTCAATCATCCGACACCCGATCTAGTGAAGAAGCTTCTTGGAAGGGCTGGAAGCCGTATCATATTCGGCCCTGAGCCAGTTTTGGGCGACAGCAAGCTGAGCCCTATGTTCCAAATCTCAATGGGACGAACGGGACTTGACTCAGCTGAGTGCCTCGAGGATGGAGGAGACATCTTCTTCAAGATAAGCTATTTCAATGGATATTCTCAAGGTATCCAAGATGTCAGTCTCGCCAGTTGGGGCGATCATGATGAGAAATGGCGATACTCGGGAAGTGTCGTGCTGGACTCCAATGCGGTCGCGGTTCAAGTTGCTCCCCCTTTCTTCTCATCCGACCACTATTTCATACCGCATGCCACCCTCACTTCCCCCTCTGTGACCTCGTTTTATGACGGCGCCAATCGCGTATCCGGAGAACTATATCGCGATCACAGCTGGGTCAAGACCTGTTATGACGACGCCTGGTCAATGCGGCAATTCTCAAGAGAGGACACAGTCTTGACCGAGGACCCCCGGAACGACCCTGATATAGGTATACACTTCCAGGCTTTGAGCACATCGACCTTCTTGCCCTCATGGAGGGACAAGAGGCTAGCATCGATTGATGAGCTTATGATAGACTCTGCTATCAAATCAGAAGCATTTGCTCATACGCCAGTAACAACACATTTTGATTCCAGTGGGAGACCTTCGGTTATATCTACTACAGATGGGAGCGTTATTCGCAACACAAGCTTCAAGTATGATGTCTATGGTAACAGGAATGCCAAGATAGATGGAGCTGGACGTGTTGTACAAAGAACCGAGTTTAATAACTTAGGTCGAGCTCTTAGGGTTAGCAGTCTTGATTCCGGCGATCAGGTCAACTTCTGTGATTGCCTTGGAGAAATCATTGCCACAAAGGACTCCCGAGGTATACTGAAGCGCTATGTAAGAGATAAGTTACGACGAGTGACTCAAACTTGGGTTGCTGAAGATAAGCTCGCTGAGGAGGTTCTCTGGTCGGAAGTGGTGTATGGCGACAATAGAGAGTACTTTCCTGATGGCTCACAGCAGTCAAACAGGAACCACCGCGTGGCTCGAATATACGATCAGTCAGGGGTGCGAACATTTGACGAGTACGACATTAGGGGCAACTGCACAATGTCTACTATGCAGCTCGCAGCCGAGTACAGGTCACTGTTCAACGCAACCGCAGATATGGTCCTCGAATCTGAGATCTGGTCAACACAAAGCGTCTTCGATGCCAGTAACCGCGACAGGCAGTCCAAGGATCCGACTGGAACTGTCACTGTGCGAAGTTATAACTTCTTATCCTAGCTTGAGTCCGTCAAGACATATAACGTGGCGAATCCTGACGACCTCTCGGTTCAGGTTCACTCTATTTCTTATACGGCAGACAGTCTTCTTAGCTGCGTGCAAAACGGCAGGAGTAAGGTTATAGGTAGTTTAAAGAGGCTTTAGCCTCCAGTATATAAAGGTAAAGAATACTAATAAATACATATAGGTAAGATACTTATTACCCTTATTATTACCTAAAATCTTAGTTTTAGTTAAAAAGTTAATATCTTAATAACTAACTTTAAAGATATATAAATAAGTAGTTATTACTTTTTTATAAAGATAATTAGGCTTAAAATATATAAAATATATATAAGGTAAGATTTTTAATAAAAGTAAGTTTATTAACTTAAAATAACCTT